TGACTGATTGGTCTCTATGTGCCACCATCCTAAATCTGTTAAATATGTGTAGAAATATATAACCTGACTATATAGGATGTCGGTAATTATAAGACGCTTTTCAGATCATCCCATAAAACTAGGGATGTTAACCAAGTTCTTCCTCAGCTGTGTTGAAGATAGGAACTGTTATACGCTCTTATGCTTGCGGAAAACTACGAGAAGATATAAACTATAAACTTAGCCATAAATACACTACCATGACGTACTGTACTGTAGATATGCCAAGCTGTCTAGTCTAGACAAGATATTGTAAGAATTTCATAATACTGTATTTTATGTACCCATAACTATCTTAGTTCAGTATGAGAAAAACTTACTCGCTAATCAACTTAAAAACTATCAAAATATCAACCAAAAGATAAAGTAGTCGTTTCTACTTACTTGCTTTTTTTATGACAAACAGTACATGACCAATATCAAATTATGATAATAATCAACAACATGACCTTTAGGTGGTTATACAAAAACTACAAAAGCTATACTCTCCTCTTTTACGTCATACTCGACGATGTGAAACACGAAAAAAATTACTCATTTCAAAACAAAAACAATTAAGTAGTTGAGTTTGCAAAGAGCACAAACGCAGGTATACCTGTGGGGGGCGCTATCGACCCCCCTGTATTTGTCTCCCCTTGTTTATTGGGGCCGCGATAAATCTATTTTTGATGTGCGGCGCGCGCGCAGAGTCAACACACGGACAATTTACGGTCACGAAAGTCTGTTGACAAAATCGACGTTGTGTGGCGTCCGCGATAAAAACGTCGCTCTGTTGACTCAAGGGGCGCAAATCTCGAGGTAGAGTTTGTATTGCTTGTCAAAATATCACCCGTGTTTGGGTTCGTGTTCGTTCGGTTCGATTTACTGCTTTTGTGGGAAAAAATTAGTTGAGTTGAGAATTTGTGTGTTTGTCTGAACGATTGCCATTCGTAGTAATGGAGTACATTGGCATTGAAGTTTAGAATTCGCATGGGTGAAAATTCAATATGAAACAAGTTATTCAAAACATACGTTTTTTTACGATTGCAGTAACTAACATTGTGAATTATTTTAATCTCAGTTATAATGCATTCCTTATAATGTGATTGTGATTATATTTTGACCATGTGTAAGGTATATTTGTATGCTAACAACGTATTGTGTGTATTTAGTTCGCGCTGCAATGAAATCGCGTCATCATAACTACAATTAGGATTTAGAAAGGGAAATATCCATTAATGTTTTAACAGTTGTTAAACTTAATAATCTCACTGGGGCAGAGCCCAACCAAATGCTTAAGAAAATGCTTTTATTTTCCAAAGATAGTGTTTTAAAATATCCCAAATATGTTTTGTAAGCGGCTATACGACTCAATGATAGAATTCAAATTCATGAACTTGAACTCCAAAACACAAGAGAAGTTGTAATCAAACCAATCAAAACTGAACACAAAATTTTTAGGGGATACCTAAAGTACACACAAAATTGTGTATAGAATTCACACAATTTTAAACTATTATTCAGGATACTGAAATAGTTTTCGACCCTTCTCGAGGTAAATCAAACATTTTCCCTTGTTCTCTTCAAAAGCCCAGCTCAATTGTTGTCTTCATCGCCCCTAATAGTCGCCGGTCAATCCCTTCGTCAACCGTCTACCCCAGCAATATCATTGCCATAATCACCGTGGAGGGTGCAGGGTGGTTATAACCTAATAGTTATCAATAAGGAGAGGCATGCACCAATAAGGGCGGTGAATAATGCAAGTGTGTGTGAGCGAGAAAGAGAGAGAGAGAGGGAGTGAGTGAGAGGGGGTGTAATGACTGCTGCCTCCTTGATAGATGACCTTACGATTTGTCGATCTCGTCAACATCGGCCGGTTCCCACGGAAAATCGGTAAGGGGTTTGATCGCTTATTTTCCTAAAATATTCCTGAACATACTCAAAATGTCTTTCGAATTGGCGAATATTGGTGGGAGTTTTTTTGCTAGCGTTGCGATTAAGTGATTAGGTGACACAGACTCTTATGCTTAACCATGCATGAATTGAACTTTAAACTTATTCTGATACCACTTGTGAAAAGTACTGTAAGCTCTAACGATACTTTGAATCCTAAACTAAACTGTTTCAAATGAGTGGCTTTACTAACGTGTCAGTTAGACTACGGATTGTTCACTAGACACATTGCTACTATGACACATTACTGATACAAGGGTATTTGAAAACAATCAGAAACTGAACATTCGTTCGTTGCAAAGTGATGTTTGTAATTTAGAATTCGCAGGAAAACTATGATATAAAATTTAACTAAATATATTTGTCAAATGTTAGCGAAGCATAAATTAATTTTTACGGTTACTAGTTTGAAATAAGTTTAGCTCCATCCATTGATTCATTAGTCCTTCCAAATTAATATGTTACCGATACCACAGATAACTTGCCACAGATAACTTGCCACAGATAAGTTACCGCGTTGACATTCAATTCATAAAATCTTGCTAGATGGGTTGGGTCCGAGTACACTTATCAGTTTGGTCTGCGGCTTATAAAGTCTCGAGCTCGTGAACACGATTTTTAAGTCGCAGTGCAAATACCGGTTATTTCCGGATTTTGGGCTCGGACTACGATAAACCCGAGCTCATGAACCGCCTCTTAAGTGCACAGTTAAAGTGCACATAGACGTAAAGGCGGTTTCACACTGGCGTCCGAGAGTGGACTCCACTTAGTTACCGTTTTCCTAGAAGCGGAGTGGAACACCATGTTAATCTCTTTTCCGCTCTCCGCGTTCCTCTCTCCACTCTCCGCTTCCGCGCCTAGGAAAACCCAGCTTAAGGTAGATTTTTGAGTGCGCTCTGCCCCTCAACATCAATTAAATATCAAAGTACAAGTTTCCAATGGCTGTGTCACCCAAATAGCCATTGTAATAGTATTGTATTTTAATAGTTTATCATTGTATTGTAACATTGTTGGTTGTAATAGTTGGGAAAACACCAAAATTAAACAACAAACACATACCGCATAAACATGCTATAAAACTAACCAAGACGATTCACTGAGTATGTTTAATCTAACAACGAACACTCTGTAGGAAGTACACTTAGATTAAAACGATCACAAGGCGATCTGGCAGTTTTCATTAACACTTCTTTTTAATTAAACGGAGAAATCTTAGCTGGGATTAGTCGCGCGTTGGTGGGAGAGACGTGCCTGGCAAGCCAATGAAATCTTGTATTGATTCAAATTGAAATGTTTATGGGCGAGCTTGTTTATGTGAAGTGACACGGGATTTATCGAGAGCCGTCTACAGATTGAAACAGATTGCGACATGGACAGATCGGCGATCGGCGACCATTGGGCCTGATGTCTAAACACTAAACGGTCGGTGATTTGACCAGTGTAGGTTATAATACTGACTGTAAAATACAAGTAGACCAATTCTATTGGTTATGAAGCATGTTTTTGTGTATTTAATATGAATTTTATCCATGTTTGCCTCCTGGATTGAATAATAATAATAATAATAGGTTAAATACCTTGTATACGTCCTCAATCCAAGTCGTCTTTTTAAATGACGACTTGGATTGAGGACGTATACAAGGTATTTAACCTATTATTATTATTAATATGAATGTTTTGTATCCTAGGTGGTAACGCAAAAGTGAGTAACGTACTTCAAAGTAACGTAGGGAAATTATTTCACTCTCATTCAAAAATCGAAAAAAAGATAAATATCATACTACATTTTCCATCCTATAACTCAAAACATATTTCAATATGAAGTATCAATAGAGAACCACGGATGGATCACAAATTCTATGTACATAGAAATATAGATATTACGGGGAATTGACAAACAATCTTACTCAAATTTGAAGAAACCAATATTTAAAAAATCAAAATATTATGCAAATTTCTTACCGTCATTACTTGTGTGTGTCTTTACAAAAAGATTTTACAACAAATAAAATAAAATATGTGTCTGAGTAACTAAATGAATGTGAAAACTATACTGTTAATTTTATGTCAGAACAACAATTTGAAAATAATTATTAATAATAAACATTTTTAACTATCAAAGAAGAAGTTTATAAATTCAAAAAAGATATAATCAAAGCCTTATCTTCTAAGTCATCATCAATTACAAGGCTCAACTTTATTTACGGTAACGATTACTGCGCCTCATTGAATTTACAAATCGCACATTGATTCGCTTGCAGTCTAACTCTAACCCATTATTATAACACCGTGACTATGACAAACTCCCCCTCCGACACACGCGTCTAGTAATCCGCTAATTTTCTATTTGTTGTGCCAGTAATGGACTAATCCCGGGATCAAAAGTCCATTAAAACTGCGAACGAACTCGCCGATGAGTTTGAACCTCAAAGAACTCATCAGGCCGATATTATGTGTTACGAGCGTGATTGGTTTTTCCATTATTCACGAGTCGCGTATTCGAGTCTCATTATTCACAGAATCGACACGCCGATATTTTCGCGCCGGTTTATCCATCGTGTGATTCGTTTCCCGCCATTACCACTCCCCCGACAAAAACCACTGCCCGAATAAACAATGTGGTCAAAACATTTAGTGGATTTTATTTGACGCTTTGATTACTCCGTGTCAGAGCGTAGTGTTTTTGAAATTCAATTTTTCATCCCCAACGATTGGACATTTGCAATCCCCACTAAGCCGTGCCGCGAAAATTTGCGAAATTCATCACAACCGTCGCTGCAGTTTTGTTGTAATCGTTCGCCGTACGCCAAATCCGTGGATAATTGCTTTTGGTCGATTGTGTCTGTTAAAATGTTTATTTGGCTGTTTTGGGTGGATGATTTACAAGTTTGTAGGTTCTTTAAGATGTATTCTGACTAAGTAAGCAGCCCTGTATGGTGATTTTAATTTGTAGAACAATGTAAACATAAACCCAAATCAACGAATGTATACCAATCAGCAGACTAAACGTTGTATTTATTTCCTTCCAGACGCCATCAAGTTCGGAGTCAACAGACTGATGGAGAAGTCAGACGACGAGGAAGAAGACGAAGACATCTCCAACAACAATAACAACGACCAAATGAAAAACATCAACAGGGTGCGAAGTGACGTCACTACGATGACTGACGAATCCACGCGGAGACCTGACCCTTGGAGGTCATCAAGGTCACGATCGAGGTCAAGGTCGAGGTCAAGATCGAGAACTAGATCGACCTCACCAGAGTTGGAAGTCGACAGTCCGCCGAGAACTCCGCCCCTAGAAATGACGATGCGGACAGCTTCGCCGAGCTCCAAGTCGAAAAAGGCAGAAGCATTTAGTGTCAACGCTCTCTTGAGGCCTGATTACCCTCGCATAAGGAAAGACCCGAATTTTCAACCGTTTTCTGAAACAATCTCTGTGACGCGTTCTTTCTTCTATCCTGGACTTCCGTTTTCCGACTTGTTGCTAAGGGACGGGAAGGATCCGGGAAATTCTGCATTTCTGCCGCGTCATTTTCTATCACCTCCTGGGTTCCCGTTGGGTTCCTCGCTGTACCCAGCACCGAAGGATGGTGAAGTAGATACCAACAAGAATCTCCTGACGGGGTCGCTTTACCTGAGCCTCGGCGCGGTCCATGCGGCGGCTGCTGCAGCAATGGCCAACTCTTCTGCTCCTCAAGGTAATTTAAAATATATTATAACTCAAGAACTACTAAAGTGATTAACTACGCCACTATGTTGAAATATTGACTCAGCTTCGTGCATTCCAAGCAATGAATGGTAGATTGGCGGGGGTAGAGTGAGATTTCTTTGTTTCTAACGAAGCCAATCAGTTGATTTCTACCAAAGATCATTTAGCCTGGACAAATTTAAAGTGTGCTGATTCAAAAAATCTAATTTTTTTGACAAACTGCAATTATTTAGTACTTCCAGAAGAGTACTCTAACAAAATTACATACATCAAGTGATCTCAAAGCATAATGCCTTTGTATGAAGTAATTTTACATCACGAGTGATAGCTGAGATTCATCAAGAGTTGCTAAGAGCGGTTCACCTATCACTGAATGAGTTATTCCATCGCTAAACACTATTCTGCTTTTCCAGGAGCCCCCAACCCCGGAGGTTTGTTCCCCGGGATTCCTCCTCAGCCACCGACTCCCGAAGACCTGTTCCGCCTGCGCCATCAGTTGTTGACTTCTGGGGGTAATGATCCTCACCATCACCACCTACTGCTGCGAGGAGGAGACGTCTACAGCTGTGTCAAGTGTGACAAGATGTTCCCCACACCTCACGGACTGGAGGTTCACTCGCGGAGATCTCACAACGGCAAACGTCCATTCGCTTGTGAACTGTGCAACAAGACATTCGGGGCCGAGGTGTCGCTCAGTCAGCACAGGTAAGGGAAGACAAGACTGTGAATAATAAAGAAATCGTACAGTAGAGTCAAAGGTGTTTAAGAAGGGGTAATAGATGCGAACATTAAATGTAATATCGGACCAGGTGTGTTAGAATCCTAGAGAAAAAGTTAATAGAAAGTATTGGCTATGTGCAGAACTTTTAACAAATAAATTCTTAATCAGCATCGTGAGTGTTGTTAAAATGCCGGAAATTACAAAACATTCGTAAAATAACACTTTTAATATGTACATAGAATAAAACTGTTTACTCCAAAGACTAACGGGGTTCGGATTGATGAGTGTTTAGTATACATTGCTGAGACATTGGTATGACTGAATTGAAACCGAGAATATATTGTATTTGCGTCACGATGTGTAATCAATGTTAACATAATTTTGAAATACGATTTTCTTGTACAAAAAAAATGTCTCTTCTTCGTAGGTGGTTATGCTGCCGCAGATCGGTACACAGTGTGGAGAAGGTGTTTGAGTGCAAACAATGTGGCAAGACATTCAAGAGGTCGTCTACATTGTCTACACATCTGCTGATACACTCGGATACGCGGCCCTACCCTTGTCAGTTCTGTGGGAAGAGGTTCCACCAGAAGTCCGACATGAAGAAACACACCTACATACACACAGGTGAGTCTTGTATCATGTTGTATACAACAGCTAAACATAGATCTGTAAATATATTTTGATGCACCAGAATGCAGATACATTAACATTAATCTCACTCAACTTTTAAAGATTGCACCACTCAGTCGGATCATATTATTTGTTATTGAAGTTTGAAGATAAAACAATCGCAAAAGGATCTCACGAGATCCTAGCTGTATTTGTTTGGTAATGTGGTTTTACAATAATTGAATTGAAAATCCTCTAAACAGATTTCACAACGAAACGAGGTTAGACACAAATTAAAAATTATCTCTGCAGAACAATTTACCACCTTCAACTGCTTCATTTTTCATAACTTCACTCGTAATTATCTAATTACTCTACATTTATCCTACAATCCCCGCTCTTATGCGAATTTATCGTTACAATCCCTTCTTCTCAAGACAGTTCACTTATCATTCTCCCTCCTACACCCCCCTCCAGGGTAAGACGATGAGCTGACCGTGGGGTGATAATGTGCTGAACACCTCTAACCCTCCTCTACAAGCCTCCCTGAGCGTATTCCGTAATTAGTGCATAATTCACAGACGACGATTAATAACGGGATTGTGTCTTAGCGAGTTAATCACTGTTGAGGAATGTTCTGCTTGGTCCTGCTCCTTGCAAGATGTTCCCTTCTACAATAGCATCATTGTAGTCTGTGGTTGTGTATGTAATGTTTAGATTATTGCTGTAACAGTTAATCACTGTTGAGGAATGTTCTGCTTGGCCCTTCTCCTTGCAAGATGTTCCCTTCTACAATAGCATCATTGTAGTCTGTGGATGTGTATGTAATGTTTAGATTATTGTTGTGACAGTTAATCACTGTTCAGGAATGTTCTGCTTGTCCTGTTCCTTGCAAGATTTTCTCTTCTACAATAGCATAATTGTAGGCTGTGGTTGTGTACCTAATGTGTAGATCATTGCTGTGACATGACAGTTAATCACTGTTGAGGAATGTTCTGCTTGGTCCTGCTTCTTGAGAGATGGTCCCTTTTACAATAGCATCATTGTAGTCTGTGGTTGTGTATGCAATGTTTAGATTATTACTATGACAGTTAATCACTGTTCAGGAATGTTCTGCTTGTCCTGCTCCTTTCAAGATGTTCAATCAATCAATGAATCAAATATTCTTTATTCACAAAGTTAAGACAATATGTCTTGAATAGCGTCATTAAACTAACATAAACAAAAAATTATAAACTAAATAATTAAAATCATCCAGAAAGGATTTATATAGTAAAACTAAAAATGAGTGCTATAACTTAAAAAAAAATCACAAAATCTTGGAAGGCTACGTCAGAGTAAAACTAGGTAGTATCTGGAATTCAAATGGTCGTTTCGAGATTACAATTTAAAAAATTCTTTGATGGAATAAATTGGGTTTCTTATCAACAAGTCTTTCAGTAGGCTTTTGAATCTGTTTGTATTTTTTTTTTTAAGTGAAATCGGTAATTTTTGAAGAAATTTTAAGCCTGCATATGAAGGTTTTTTGGTATAGAATTCTAAATTATGTCTAGGAAGGTTAATTTGAAAGCGTGTGTTATATTTATTTGCAGTGGATAATAAATGAAATTGTTTTGCATAAATTATTGTCTCATAAATATACAAACTGTAAACTGTTAATACACCCAATTCAGGAAAGATATTTTTAACTGAATCTGTTCTTTTTAATTTCATGATCACTCTAATAGCTTTTTCTTGTTTTATAAGTATTTTATCCAAATTTGCCAAATCCAAGTTGTTGCTCCGTAAATGGCGATTCCATAGGAGATGTGGGAATGAATTAGAGAATAATAGATTATCCTAAGAGTTTCCAAGTTGCAAACCTTGGACATCGGCCGCAAGGCATGAATGCCATATCATAATTTATTTACTACATAGTTTTTTTTTTATTATCCCAAGATAACCATCATTAATAACCAGTACCAGAAACTTTGTTTGGTTTACCTGATCAATTTTGTCTGTTTTTATAAAGATATTAGGTTCAAATGCTGTTATTGATTGTTCAGTTGAAAAGGATATTAGATGTGATTTTGTTGTGCTGATAAGCAGATTTCTTTCATCCAAAAACTTTTTATAGAGAGGAGACTCCAGTTTGAGGATTTTTCAATAATTAAATTGGATTTTCCTGAAAACAAAACATTAGAGTCATTAGTTCTCTTCTACAATAGCATCATTGTAGTCTGTGGTTGTGTATCTAATGTTTAGATTATTGCATTACTTGACAGTTAATCACTGTTGAGGAATGTTCTGCTTGGTCCTGCTTCTTGCAAGATGTTCCCTTCTACAATAGCATTATTGTAGTCTGTGGTTGTGTATCTAATGTTTAGATTATTGCTGTAACAATTAATCACTGTTGATAAATGTCAAGGTTGGTCCTGGTCCTTGCAAGATGTTCCCTTCTACAATAGCATCATTGCAGTCTGTGGTTGTGTATCTAATGTGTAGATTATTGCTATATAATAGTTAATTACTTTTGGGGAATGTTCTGCTTGGACTTGCTCTTTGCAAGATGTTCTCTTCTACAATAACATCATTATAAAAATGGTTTATTTTACCTTTTTGCGTCGAACGATCCGTGTATAGTTAGTACAACTACAGCTGTTTCATACCACTAGGGTACATCATCAGGTTGTTGGCAGAACGTTAGATAAAACGGCATTCATTAATAGATGAACTTGTCGAAATAAATATGTCTATATACACATAATACACGAAAAACATTAAAAAAAACACGAATTTACGAACTTGGCCAAGTAACGAACACACGAGACAGGCGCCGATGGATGTTGCGTCATGACTGCTGTCGTGTGTCCAAGCATCAGCTGTTACCCCTCCCCCCCAACTCCTTTATCAGTTTTGTTTTGGTTTAAATGAATGGCAGTATTGTAGATGATATTAGATCTGAATGAAATTTGTTCGTCATAAAACGAACATAGAGTTCTCTGAACAAGAAACCAATCTTTTGAACAAAGGATTAAATTATAATTTTCCCAATGATAAGAAAAATAGCTTGATATCAGAACTACTAAATGCAGAAACAGCTGTAAAATATTTAAACAACAATGACGCACGTGATACGGCAAGAGTAATGATCACAAACAAAATGAAAAAAGCTGTCTTAAATCCAAACATTAGAAAATCATACTTGACAAAATATAAACCTTTAAAACAAGTCGCTGCCAACATTAGGGACAAGTTAGAACAAAACAATGCCGTTATCACAAAAGCTGATAAGGGAAACTGCATTGTTATCCTCAGTAAAACTGAATACGTAAACAAAGTTTGTGAATTCATCACAGCCAATAATATTGACACATTAAACTGTGACCCTACTGCTACCTACTCCAAAGAAATAAATAAATTGATATCCTCGTCAACAAATCTTTTGTCTAAAGATGAAATAAAGCAATGCAAAGTTACTAAACCCCAGGCTCCCATTCTTAGAGGACTACCGAAGATCCACAAACCTGACACGCCCATCAGACCACTAGTAAATTTCAGACCCTCACCAGCCTATAAAATTGCTCAAAAACTTGACAAAATAATTAGGAAAGAGACCGCCTTAGATAACGACCATAGTGTTAAGAACACAGTTGATGTAGTAAACCAACTCTGTAAAATTAAACTAAAGGGTTCTTATACTTTAGCCTCATTTGACGTAGTGAATTTATTCACAAACGTACCCATTGATGAAACCATCGACATACTTGAATCTAATCTAGATAAAAACTCCTCCTTATCAACCGAGGCTAAAAATGAGTTAGTTAATCTCACTAAAATAGTCCTCAAACAAAACTATTTCACGTTTGAAAATAAATACTACACACAAAACGAAGGTTTAGCTATGGGCTCTCCACTTTCAAGCGTCCTTTCAGAACTGTTTCTAAACAATATAGAAAATAAATTTCTATGGTCAGATTCCAACAAACAAAAAGATAAAATAGTTCACTACAGCCGATATGTGGATGACACATTAATCTTATTCAATGGTAATGAAAGGCAGATAAAGATACTTGGAAATTATTTGAACAATGTCCACCATAAACTAAAATTCACCCTCGAAACCGAAGCTAACAAATCAATTAATTTCTTAGACGTAACAATAACAAGAACTGATCACATCACGGAATTCAAAATCTACAGAAAACCAACAACAACTGACCAGACCATCCATTCGTCATCACACCATCCTTTCAACCACAAGACAGCTGCTTACAATAGTTTCGTTCACAGACTATTATCCATACCCCTTACCACAGAAAACTACAACAATGAAATAAACATTTTGAAGCACATTGCCGTTGCCAATGGATATGAAAGCTCTCTCATTGATAAACTTATCAGAAAACAGAAAAATAAAACAAAAGAGATTCTAGAACCCAGAAACAAAAAGTATGTATGTGCTGAATTTGGAGTAGTACTCAATAACACCTTGAGAAAAGAAATGGCAAAGAACGACGTACACGTTGCATACAAAACATCTAACAAATTATCTACTATGCTTAAAGAAAAAAATAAAACACATTCTGATAAAGTAAACAGCACAGGTATTTACAAAATGACATGTAACGATTGCCCGAGCTTTTACATCGGCCAAACTGCTCGCTCTTTCGCTACTAGGTTTAAAGAACACCTACCCAAAAAGAACTCGAAATCAGCATTCGCCAACCACATAATTAACGCAAACCACAACTACACGGACATACATAGTAATCTAGAAATTATGCATTTATGTACTAAAGGCAGATACATGGACACAATAGAGGAGTTCGAAATATACAAGGCATCCAAAGAACACCCTGACCATATATTGAATGAACAAATTTCATTCAGATCTAATATCATCTACAATACTGCCATTCATTTAAACCAAAACAAAACTGATAAAGGAGTTGGGGGGGGAGGGGTAACAGCTGATGCTTGGACACACGACAGCAGTCATGACGCAACATCCATCGGCGCCTGTCTCGTGTGTT